ATCCATTATCTATATAGCTTAATCCTCACTAGGGTCATGTCGTCAACGGGACGTTTATTTATTCTTCTTTTTATTTCCTCTTTTATTGTATTATTCTTTAATATTTTCTTTTTTGTAATTTGGCGCTCTCACTACTCCATAAGAATACAATATAATTGGAGGAAGGACAAAACAATAAAGCGCTTACGTTGTGGCTCATGATCATAGAAATAAATATTAAATAAGCAAAGGCAGAATAGGACAAAAAGGAAGATACGAGTTTTACCAGTTGCACAGGACTCAGCACTGAATGTCCCGTTCATTGGATTGTTGAGCCGATGAGTTGAATCGGCAGACGGCTGCTTCATGGGACACAAAAATGTCAAAGAAAAGCTGTTTGTTTATTTACCTTCCTTTAAATTGACAGTGATAGTGTTATCAGGCCACTAGAAACACAGATGACAACTAAATGACAACAGATTGGTTATTCTGCATGACAGCACATTTTGCTGCATCACTAGCTCCAGTAACGTTTCTGGTTCTGGTCAGTTTTATAAGATAGTCGCCTGTATTACTAGCTGACATTAAATGTAGAGCAGGACCACATGAACCGATGAACATAGGAATGAACATCCAACACTGAATGTTAGACTGTAACTGATATAATAATAGTAGAAAGTAAAACATCTCAGCGTTTCACTCTCCACGGTTCTCATGACGTGTTTCACTCTCCACGGTTCTCATGGCGTGTCTAAATCCCGCCTCCTGCTCCGAGCTCCTCATCAGTCCAGTCCGACCCTGGCCTTGTCCACACAGCAACCGGAAGGAAACGTAAACGATGGCCTAAGTAGCTCCAGCTCCAGCCCCTGTCCTGGTCAAAGTAGCCAAGAAAGCGGCTCCGAGGCCAAGAAAGACCGGCCCCAGCGTCAGTGAGCTGATCGTTAGAACTGTGTCTGCTTCACAGGAGCGGGGCGGCGTGTCGACGGCCGCCCTCAAGAAGGCTCTGGCTGCCGACTGCTACGATGTAGAGAGAAACAAGGCCCGTGTTAAGACCGCCATTAAGAGCCTGGTCGCTAAGCGCACGCTGGTGCAGACCAAGGGGACCGGGGCCTCCGGTTCCTTCAAGATGAACAAGAAGGCTGAACCCAAGGTCAAGAAACCTGCTGCTAAGAAAGCCACAGTGGCCAAAAAGACGGCAAAGAAAGCCACCAAGACCCCAAAGAAGAAGGCCACTGCAGCCAAGAAGACTCCTGCAAAGAAGGCAACTAAAGCTAAGAAGTGATCTGCTTCACTGTAGACATTCACAAGTCAAAGGCTCTTTTAAGGGCCACCACAGATCATCTATCTATCTATCTATCTATCTATCTATCTATCTATCTATCTATCTATCTATCTATCTATCTATCAGTCATGACATTGAAAAGGGCTTCTGTAACTGTCTTTGCAAATACCTGTATTTAGGCCTAAAGAACCTTTAAGAAGTGATATAATGTAATGAAGGAAGTAGTTTTAGCGTAATTATGAATGACTAGTTTGTTTAGTGCTGCACTGTTTCATTCAAATGTATTAAAGAGGGGATACTTGCAATTATTTTATGTCTAAAGTAAAAGAAAAAAATAACATTAAAAAAAAGAAGTACATGTAAATACCAAGACGAAAATAGTTTAAACCAGAACGTACAGAATACAGCAGCTGCTGCTGAGGAGGAGGAGTTTATTTCAAACGTCACATTTCTGTCATCCAATAGAAAGTGTGATAGCGCGCGCGCTGCACCGCTCCGGACCAATCAGCGCTGCCGTCGCTCCGCCGCTCTCCATATAAGCTCGGTGCCGCCGCTCGGTCGACACTTGTTCTCTTACTGTGGAAGCAGAGCAGACGGAGGAAGTAGAATGGCCAGAACCAAGCAGACCGCCCGTAAGTCCACCGGAGGCAAAGCTCCCCGGAAGCAGCTGGCCACCAAGGCTGCCCGTAAGAGCGCCCCGGCCACCGGCGGCGTGAAGAAGCCTCACCGTTACAGGCCCGGTACCGTGGCTCTGAGGGAGATCCGCCGCTACCAGAAGTCCACGGAGCTGCTGATCCGCAAGCTGCCCTTCCAGCGCCTGGTGCGTGAGATCGCCCAGGACTTCAAGACCGACCTGCGCTTCCAGAGCTCGGCCGTCATGGCTCTGCAGGAGGCCAGCGAGGCTTACCTGGTGGGTCTGTTCGAGGACACCAACCTGTGCGCCATCCACGCCAAGAGGGTCACCATCATGCCCAAAGACATCCAGCTGGCCCGCCGCATCCGCGGAGAGAGAGCTTAGACTCACCGGACACACGTCACACTGGAAATAACGGCTCTTTTAAGAGCCACTCACATTCATGATAAGAGTTCAAGTTTCCACATAGTAATGTACTAACACTTCCAAGCATATTGGTTAGTTTTAATATTTAATGGACGGTATATTCAATGTGGACTGTACACTTAACTGTTAGTTCAAAGTTTGAGTAAATAAATGAATCTGTGTTGTGTATAGCAGGTTACAGTCATTCAGTTTAATACATTTGAAATTCTGTAAACTCAGTAAACAGTTCTCACCTCCACCCATCTGACAGCAGCAGCACTGCTCTTAACATCACTGATTAATCAATTAACAGAAACCTGACAACTGGAAAACTCATATTTTGGCTAGTTCCATTTGTTTTCAGGTCATAAATACTCAATATGACATTTGAAGGTTAAACCAGGTGTCAGCGCCTGCAGCTCTTTCGTACTTCTCTGCAGCTCCTTGTGGCTTTGGAAAATAGTGCTTTAATTTAAATGTATTTTGTTTTAGCTCATTAGTTTTTAAAATGTAATTCTAAATTTGAAGGTTTTTGTGAAATTGCTCAAAATATGCATCATAGCTGCCGATGTGTGTTATTTTTTTTTTTTATTTAATTTTTTTGTGACCAAAGCGACTAGCAACAAATCTAGTGACTCTTTCTGGTGTTTTGGAGACTCTGACATGAAAACACGTATCGCTCTGTAGTTCCTGTCCTCAGTGAGCAGCGGTGCTGCCGTGAGCTCCTCCGTCCCAAAGCGCTCACAGGCGGTCAGCAGTTTTTAGCCATTTTTAGTTTGCTGCAGGTGGATAATTTAAGATCGGCTTTTTATTTCATAAATACAAGGGTAATTCAAATAGATATGTAGTATTTTATTTAAAGGTAACCTTCAACCCAGTGTCTTTTTTTGTTTTTGTTGTTGGAGTTAAAAATGTTTTTGTTGCAGAAATAGAATTTTGCTTTCACTGTGGCAGTTCATTGATTTCATAAATGCAACACACTAGTTTTTTTTATTTTTTTTGTACATAGCATAAAGGTAAAAACGATGCAGTGTTATCTTCATTTTAGATGTCAAAGGGGTTTTGTGGCTCCCGGTGTTTTCTTTTCCATGGAAAACAGGTCCAAATGGCTCTTTGAGTGTTTAAGGTTGCCGACCCCTGGGCTACACTGACACTTGACTAATATCACAGTGACATAAAACCTACATTACATCAATCATTACAAGATCAGACCAGACCTGTAAAAATTTAGATTATAATGTGTTTAGATTTGTACTGTTCTTAAGCCTCTATGCATTGTGCAGCACCACTGATGCACGGTATTCAAAGTTTATCTTGTGTCTTTTTACAATGCAAACCTGCAGGATCCGGCTGCTGAAAAACACCAACATTGTGTGTGTGTGTGTGTGTGTGTGTGTGTGTGTGTGTGTGTGTGTGTGTGTGTGTGTGTGTTCCATCCATTACAACTCCACTATGCTGAATAAACTATTGAGAGGCCTGATGATCCTTATGGCTATACAAACAACAACGGTCCACTGGAGGGAAAAGAAGAAAATAGGACTGTCTTTAATGGAAAACTGAAATAAATGTAAGAAGTAACACCTACTGAAACAGACTGTCTCTGTGGTGTTCATCAGAATCAATCATACACGTCAGGCTCTGAATGATACGACTGCTGAACCTTTACATGTAGTGGAGAATGTAACTGACACGATGCCCGTGGTTCTGGTTAAATCAACAAGAAATATAGAAAAATGTTTTCTTTACAATCTTTATTTTTTATCGAACACACACACACACACACACACACACACACACAAACACATATATATATATATATATATTACATTTGGATATTTGAACAAAGATTAAAAGGTTAGACTTGATTTTTGTACAGAAATGTATTTCAAAGCAGTGTGTCATGTATTCACCTTGTTCTTGTTGTTTTCATTGAATGTCTGCATCAGATTGCCTTATCACAATCTGTTTGTATTCATAATAAACAACAAAGATTTATTTTTCCATGTTTAGATATTTGGGTACATGATATAGTAGTTAGTAGAAAAGGATGCTGTCAAGACAACTGAACCACCGATTATTTATACACCTCCATTAAATATATACCTATATGGAAACGTTTTCATTCTATTAAAAAACAAATTAATTCACTTTTGTGAAGTCCTGCATGAGGGAATTGTCAAAGCGTTAAAGAGTCGGAGCTCCGTGTTGATCCAGCGTCCAGACGGAGAGACTGTTCCAGCGGATCATCTGGACGCCAGCAGCCGCGAGCACCGGCAGCGTCCGTGTGTTTACCGGCGGCCAAAACCTCCCTCTTCCAGGCCAACCAAGCAGCGCAGCGCCGCCGTTTTCCACCCAGCGTGTCCTCACACGTCTCCGCTAACCGGAGCACCGCTGTTCCGCCCAAGACGAGGCGCTTTTACACATTTTAGGAGCACAAATGTGCAGAAAAGTGACCGCGAGCCGCACTCGCTCACCGCGTGTCCGACCGCTTGGAAGCCTCCTGGCAGCGAGCGACCAGGTGCTGGAGGCCGAACAGGAGCCGAGTGTGGCGGGACAACTGTGTTCTCCGTGTGGCAGCGAGCGTCGGGTGTGAAAAGGCCGCTTTAGTGCGTATTTTGTGTCCGAAACGTGTCGGAGAAAACACAAATGCGGCCGCTTTGGACACGGCGGCAGCGCCGCGCGACGCATTGCCTCTCCACGGTTCTCATGGTCTTTATAAGTCCCGCCTCCTGCGTCCAGCTCTGTCAGGTCGAGACAAACAGCGACACTGAAACATGGCAGAAGAAGCTCCAGCAGCCGCGCCGGCTAAAGCCCCGGCCAAAGCCCCGAAGAAGAAGGCCGTCCGGCCCAAGAAGGACGGGCCCAGCCTCCCGAAGCTCATCGTCGCCGCCGTGGCCGAGTCCAATGAGCGCAAGGGGACGTCCATATCGGCCCTCAAGAAGGCGCTGGCGGCGAAAGGCGTCGATGTGATCAAGGCCAACAAACGCATCAACACCGCCGTCACCAAGCTGGTCGCCAAGGCGGTCCTGGCCCAGACTAAAGGCACCGGGGCCTCCGGCTCCTTCAAGCTCGCGAAGAAGGAGCCCAAAGCCGCCAAACCAGCGGCCAAAAAGGCCGCCGCTAAGAAGACCAAGACAGCAGCAGCCAAGAAGGTAGCAGTCAAGAAGACACCTAAGAAAGCGAAGAAGCCCGCCACAGCAAAGAAAACTGCCAAGAGCCCTAAAAAGGCAGCAAAGAGCCCCAAAAAGGCAACTAGAAGTCCTAAAAAGGCAACTAAAAGCCCCAAGAAGACAGCCAAGGTTCCCAAGAAGGCAGCCAAGAGCCCAAAGAAGGCTGCTGCAAAGAAGGCAGCCAAGCCCAAAGTCAAGAAGACAGCAGCCAAGAAGAAGTGATCTGCTTCACTGCAGACATGCAGAACTCAAAAGGCTCTTTTAAGAGCCACCACAGATCCTCATAGAGCTCAGTCCTCCTCATAAACTGGAGTCAGAAGAAGGCAGCAAAATAAGAATATTATTTAGGCATATTACATTATCTATATTGGCCTCATTGTTATAACAGCTTTGTCTTTGTTCACATTCATATTTGATTTCTACCCTTATATCATATTTGACCATCTAATTCTAATCTTAATTCTGCAAATGTTACATGTAGGTACTTTAGGATAGATTAATAAAACTACTAACTAGAATCCAGGTAAACTCATTCCTCATCACTTGGTTGGTTCCAGCAGCATCAGTTTATTAAATCTAGTTCAGAGTCACAGGGAAAAATCAGGACATGGGTGAAAGACTCGATGAGCTTATGTTGGTTTCTTCTAACATCAATTCATTTTAAATGACAGTATCCCCCTCACAGCAACCTCGCTCCAAGAGTTTAGACTTTCCACATTAAATTCAGGCCCCACAGTAGAAACTCAGTCCAGCTGTCATGACAGAGATTCTCACTCTAAATTCATGCCTTTCTCATTGTGACTCCACTTACCAAAGTGTGTTTACAAGTAAATTTCCGTTACTACTGCTCCATGCTTTCCCCTGTTGCTGACAGGTGTGGCTGGAGGGGCCTGCCGCACAGACCCTCCTCACTCTGGCCAGGCTTCAGCAGCAGCAGAAGGGAACTGGGTACTGGTTGTGTGTGACCTTGTGCATTTATATTAATTTACTTTTTTTCTGGTGGGTCCAATGATTTTGTGGTCCTAGCATAGCTCTCATTGGAGGATTTAGGCAGTTTATGGTAGTGTGGACAGGAGACCCTGTTCTGCTGGGCTCATGTGGACTGGACAGTGGTGTTTTGTGTTCTTGTGTTTTTGGCTGGGCCATCAGTAGTAGTGAGTTTGGGAGGGGGTTTATTTACCTCAGGTTTTGGAAACATTGCATGTCTACCCAGTGGAGAGGGAAGAAAACAAAAGAAAAACTTAAACAGATATCTTCACATCAGTAGTCTGAGCAGTTTGTGATGAACATGACTCAGTGTAGGAGTTTAGCTGATGACAGCTTTGTTCATGTCCCTTATGACCACCAGAGATAACACACACAGATACAGCACGCATCAGGTACACGACACATAGCGTCTTTCATATTTAATGCCTTCCTTGTCTTAAAGGCTTTTTTTTAAAAACACCATGGACAGCTTCCTTGCCTGACAAAAAAAAAAATCCATTGTTTTGCACTCAGAAAATGTCACAATGAGAATGAAAACCTTCACATGCTCCGTTTGTTTTTGGCTTTTGATCCAAAGAAATGCAACCAGGAGGCCAGTTAGCTGTGAAGAAAATGTACAGATTAGATTTCATCCACATCTTCCTTCTGCCTCTTTTATGTTAAAATAGAAACTGGAGATCTAATGATGTTTATCAGCAGATTACTATTATAACACTGCAGACTGCTGATTAAACATGTCACACAGATGATCAAATATTATAATGGTGATTAGTGACAGAATCGGGTTCTGCTGAGTCGCCTTTGTGTCTGCAGTCACAGTTTTCAGTTTGAATGCAGCAAGGCAGTGATATTTAAATAAAACAGGGTGCATAGGAGCAGATTTAACATGGAGTAGTTTAAATCAGTTTCCTCAGGCTGTGTAACGAACATGAATATAAAGAGAACGACATCAAACAGCAGCTTTCAGTCTGCATGTGAGACGCTTACTGAATCCTTTCCAAAACAAACTTTGTTTTTTGTCCTTTTCTTCTACAATGTTTCTAATAACACAGTGCTAGCATTTCAAAATGGTCCATATCAAGGAACTTCATTCTTTTTTTCATTACAGGGTTTGTGGCACAAGATAGTTTTATTGTTCTGAGTCCTGTCCCCTAAACTAATTTGTCATTTAAAACCACGTTAATTTATTTAGTGTTGACTTTACAGAAACAGTTGTTCATGTTTTCAAATAATCAATATTTTGACCAAAATTAACTAAACAGGAATTCATGCATGATAGAAATATATATATATATACTTTTTTTTTTTTTTTTAAAGCAGATCCAAACATCAAATATCCACTTTTCCTTTAATCATGTAATTCCATAATCAAACTGAACAAAAAAATAAACCAAGAAAAAGAACTTGTTTAACTCAATTTTTTTTAAAAGTAAGACTATTTCATAATAGGAATGAAATCAATTAATGACCTCTAAATATGTCATTCTTCTGTCTGGTCAGCATCACGTGGAGCACGATAGCAGTGGGTTGGTTCCCTGTCAGCTGGTCTTCACATAGATGTGAACAACTTCACTACATCAGACAACAACACTTAAATCAGGTCAGTTGTCATCAGCAGCATTATAGCAACTAAAGCTAACAATCCAAAACTGCACAGACCACCTGTATGTAATGTGACAGGACTGAGTTTAGAGCCAAACATGATCAGGTACATGACAGATAGCGTGGAGTGATACAATACAAACGAAAAAACAAATAAATAATACAATCTTAAATAACTGCATTGAAAGAAATGTTCATGCAGTGTAATATGTTCTATACTAACCATAAAATGTCACATTCACCAACATCGACATAATGGCACCCATTTGGTGGAACCACTCATGTATGCGATAACCAGGACGTGATCTCTCAGCGTTCAGAGTGTGTGGTCCTGAAAAGGACCGTTGGTGTGTTGCTGGATGTCAGCGGGTTTACTTGGAGCTGGTGTACTTGGTGACGGCCTTGGTGCCCTCGGACACGGCGTGCTTGGCCAGCTCTCCGGGCAGCAGCAGCCTGACGGCGGTCTGGATCTCCCTGGACGTGATGGTGGAGCGCTTGTTGTAGTGGGCCAGGCGGGACGCCTCGCCGGCGATGCGCTCGAAGATGTCGCTGACGAACGAGTTCATGATGCCCATGGCCTTGGACGAGATGCCGGTGTCGGGGTGCACCTGCTTCAGCACCTTGTACACGTAGATGGCATAGCTCTCCTTTCTGCGCGCTCTCCTCTTCCTGCCGCCTTTGCCGGCGGCCTTTGTCACTCCTTTCTTGGAGCCCTTCTTCGGGGCGGCTTTTCCTGGTTCAGGCATTGCTGTTTGTATCTAGAGTACGGAATGACCCAGCCAGCGCAGAGACACTGTTCTTATACAGACCACATGCAAAAATCACTGCGCGGTCCCCCGCCTCTGATTGGCTGAGCTGCTCGGCTGGGTGGAGTCTTGTTTCCATGGAAACCACAGCAAAGAAAACTGGAGACCTCGGACATGTTGAGCTGTTCTGTTGGTGCGCAGACTCACAACAGAAGCAGGACATCAGCCTCTATAACCTGTATTATGAACATGTAGAAGCCACATTTCATTCTTTCAGATGATGTCACTTGTCCACCTGTTCAGTGTCTTCTGTGACACTGATTGAATAACGGATGTGAATCTGTGTTTCTTCTGAGGTTACACTTAAATATTTATTGAACTTTACAACACAGTGCATGTGTTTGGGGTGTGTTCATTTTAATGTGACAACCTGAAACAAGTGTCTTCATCTCTTCCTGCATAAACTGTGACGTCCATGTGACGTACTATAAAAATGATTGTCCCGTAATTCAAAAAAATAAATAAATAACAGACTGTCATATCCCAGCGTGTTTCAGCTTTAAAACCTGTCGATGAACCCAGTGTCTCCTACGAAAGATCACTTTTATTACAGCCTTGCTTCAGCACTTCACCCTGAACTGAAACCTGTATTTAGCAGAATGAACACAAGAAACAAAAAGACAGAGTTAAATAGATTTCTTATTAACACGTGGGATGTTCTGTTTTGTCACTTTTCTTTTTTATTTATTTATTTGTTTTTTTGTCCCCATTATGTTATAATAAATATATTTATTTACCAAACTCAGACTATTGTGATTTCAATAAATGTTTTCTGTTAAGTATATATCATAATAGATAAACAACTATAAAAAGCTTGATTGCTCAAATGCTCCCTGTTACTCCAACCACAGCAACAGGGCTGCACATTCATGCTAATGTTAACTTTTTCTTAGGACTAGAAACCAGCTGTTACTGACCAAGAGGACAAACTCACTAAAGTAAATTTGTAAATTAAGAAAAAATAATGCATTAGTTTAATCCTGATAATCCACATGACAATGTTGAGGTAGAGCAAGGCTTTCAAGTCAAGGTGACAATGTTGGAGAAATGTGAATAGCTTTGCTCTGCCCATGCTGTTGGGAAACTGATCATGTTAATTCCGTTATGGTTTCTTCCTCTATGCTAAAAACGTCAGCTAACTGGTTGTGTGCATGTTGTGGAACAGATTCCCGCATAACATCTTAAACATGCTGATTACAACAAAGTTTTACATGATTAGAAGAGACCTATATTACAAAACATATTGAAATATATTTTAAGAATTCAAGTTGATAATCTTGCCCTCAATGATCAACAATTTTAGCTCAATTCAAGACCAGTACAATTTACTCAGAACCTAGGGTTTAATATTTTTTTTAAATGATCACATGAAATTTCATGGCAGACACATTAGATGTGTTCTGGAACACCCATCACCTGTTGTACATTTATAAGGCCGCTGCTCATAGAGGACGTGTGTGGCTCTGAAAAGAGCCGTTGGTTTGTTGTTCCAGCAGCAGCAGGTTGATGGTTTACTTGGCCTTTCCCTGCTTCTCGGTCTTCTTGGGCAGCAGCACCGCCTGGATGTTGGGCAGCACGCCGCCCTGAGCGATGGTCACTCCGCCCAGCAGCTTGTTGAGCTCCTCGTCGTTGCGGACAGCCAGCTGCAGGTGACGGGGGATGATGCGGGTCTTCTTGTTGTCGCGGGCGGCGTTTCCAGCCAGCTCCAGGATCTCAGCGGTCAGGTACTCCAGCACGGCCGCCAGGTAGACGGGGGCGCCGGCACCCACACGCTCCGCATAGTTGCCCTTCCTCAGCAGCCTGTGGACACGGCCGACCGGGAACTGCAGTCCTGCCCTGGAGGAGCGGGTCTTAGCCTTGGCTCTCACTTTACCGCCTTTTCCACGTCCAGACATGTTTAGGGTTGAAGCTTCTTACTGAGTTCAGAAACCAGAATGACTGTAGCGGGACAAACAGCAGCTTTATATAGGAAGGCAGCTGCTCTCTGATTGGTCAGTGTGAGAGTGAGGGGGCCACCAATCAGAGAAGATGTCATGGCACGTCACTAGTCCCCCTGTTACATATACAGACACATGTATTAGAACAGCCGACTCCTTCTGCTCCCAAACGGCTCTTTATTTATTATCATCTGTAGTCTCGTACTTTAGCCTAACTTGGCAGACATGAACGCTTTGTGTTGATAAACCCTTTTGAATTTAGTGTTTTCATGAGAAGCCTTAAAACTGCCTAAGTTTGTGTATTTTTATGTTACAAAAGCAGACATTCTTACTTTAGTTAATATTTTAATCAAATTGTTGATTTTAATTTAACATGAAAACAAATGAACAAAACACTGCAAACAAACCCACAGAACAGAACCAGAACAGAATTCAGTTCAAAAACCAAACAGTGTGTCCTTGGTGTAGGTGTGCATTCAAAAAAATTCAATGTCTCAGCGTGGCTGGACTGATGCAGTTTGTCCTCTCGGTTTGTATCTGCCCTGTTCTTGAGAGACTCTCAGAGGAACAGATGACGTCTCCCTCCATCACCTCCACCAGGTGGGGCAGACTGAGGCCTTGCCTGCCACCAGCTCACCAGCAGAGATGTTTACCTGTGGACAACGTGGACGCATAATGTTCTGTTTTTGATGGACATAACTGGACTTAAACGGATTACTTCATCTTTGTCTTTAGTGTTAGAAACCTTGCACTCCTGTGGTTTAGTGCGGCCGTCTAGTGCTGTTTGAAATAGCCGCGACATTAGTAGAAGATCTTCTCCAGACACAGACCTGAGGCTGTGTAGCCACGCAAGCCACTAAAGAATAACAGTGGCCTGGACAAGGACGCTCAGCAACTACACTACGCTGGAAGTCAAGCCTTTCATCTGCCACAGCACGGAGACTAAAGCCAAAACCCTGCGTTTGAATGACGTTGTGTTTTAAAGAAGATGATTCACACAAGATTGCTCTTTGTGGGCACAGTGGCTGAGGAGCACATCAAAGTGGGAGGAGAAGCACAAACAAATGGACCTAAAGGCCACGGAGTCAAAACCAGTGAGTAAACCAGCTGAAAAGCATCGGAGGAGAAGCTACACAGATGAATGAATTCAAGAAGAGGAGTTTTGGGACATATCACAGGTAAGAAAAATGAAATTGAAGAATGAATGGATGACCCTGATAATGTTGACATGGTGAAAGAAATCATGTGACAGTTGTCAAATGTGATTTGCAGCTCCTCCTAATGATCACAGGGTTTGGTACATCCCGCATCATGGGGAAGAAGAAAATACGAGTCGTCTTTGACTGTACTGTCTCCTATCAAGGTGTGTCTTAAAATGCTGGCCTGTTGCAGGGACCTGATCTCTCCAGTACACTCGCTGGTATTTTACAGAGACTCAGAGAAGAGCCAGTGGCAGTGATGGACATCGAACCAACGTTTCACCACATAAAAGTGCCAATCAAAGATGTCAACATGTGAGGTTTTCTGTGGTGGCCAGAGGCTGACTTGAATGCACCCTTCAAAGATTACAGAATGACAGTGCACATTTTTGGTGCAACATCACCCCCTAGTGTTGCTGCATACACACTGCGGATGACCGAACAGAGACTGCAGATCCACAACAGCTTTAAACACTTCTATGTGGATGACTGCTTGAGATCAGTGCCCACAGAAAAAGAAGCAGCCAATCTGCACAGTCTATGCATGAAGGGAGGGTTTAGCTGGACCAAATGGTTGAGCAACAGCAGAAATGTTCTGACATCTCTACCAGCTGAGCAGTGGGCCAAAGATCTAGATCTCACCCATGACATCCTACATAACCAGAACTGTTGTCTCTACATGTGCTCCACGGAATGAATGAAGAATGAATCAATGAATGATGGATTGATTCTGGCTTTCTCTATGATTGTATTGGTGTTGTCTTAAGTTGGGATTTTGTTTTCTATGTTTTACTTGAAGTTGGGCATCATAAGTGAACTTTTATGAAGCAACAGCACAAATATCTTCTCTTTAACTACGAGCTTTTATTCTGGTTATGTCTTCGTTTGGAAACTGGAAGTCGGTGTTGCAGTGTTTCATGGGAGAGAGGCAGCAAGTGAACAGAAGCTTAGGACGGTTTAGGAACTGATGGACGGCACAAACTACGGTTCCAGGCAGTAATAAAAGCAACAACTTTAAGAGCCGACTGCTGGGCAGTGAAGAGAGTAAACCATGAAGCTGAAAACTGCTTCAGCCAGAAAAGGTCTCCTGTTACCAGAGCAGGAAAACATCACCAGCAGGTCTTGTGTTAGAATTTCAGAACAAACACATGGTGTTATAGCATTTCACATGTGATGTACTAATACTGCAGGCAGAGCAGCAGTGGAGGATAAACATATATTCAACAGATAGAAATAATAATAAAGTGTACTACAGATGTTAGAGTCTGCACAGCGGACATCAAGCTCTACAGATGCAGTGTGTGGTCCTGAAAAGGACCGTTGGTGTGTTGCTGGATATCAGCGGGTTTACTTGGAGCTGGTGTACTTGGTGACGGCCTTGGTGCCCTCGGACACGGCGTGCTTGGCCAGCTCTCCGGGCAGCAGCAGCCTGACGGCGGTCTGGATCTCCCTGGACGTGATGGTGGAGCGCTTGTTGTAGTGGGCCAGGCGGGACGCCTCGCCGGCGATGCGCTCGAAGATGTCGCTGACGAACGAGTTCATGATGCCCATGGCCTTGGACGAGATGCCGGTGTCGGGGTGCACCTGCTTCAGCACCTTGTACACGTAGATGGCATAGCTCTCCCTTCTCTTATGTTTCCTCTTCCTGCCGCCTTTGCCGGCGGCCTTGGTCACTCCTTTCTTGGAGCCCTTCTTCGGGGCGGACTTTGCTGGTTCCGGCATTCTTCTCTGTTCCTGCGGTAACGAATGAAGTGTGACGTGAAGAGCGACTCTTCTTATACAGGCCGTATGTAAATTATACTGCGCGGCCCCCCGCATGTGATTGGCGGAGCTGTTCGGCTAGTGACGGTTGGTGCGCAGACTCACAACAGAAGCAGGAAAAAGGCGGGAGACCTCCGACATACGCTTCTTCTCTGTATTTGTATTGTTCTTATTATTCTGAATAACAAGAATAATTTATTTTTATTATATTTTTAGTTTACATTAAATCTCACCAAATAACAAATTCAACACAGACGTTAATACCGTCTGACACATTTTCCAGATTAACTGAAAATCCACAGACTCCTGCAGTAATCTTATTCCTTGAGCTCTATGACCATTTATTTAAAGGAATACTTCATACACGTACCAGACATTTTTGCTCCACAAGTTGTTACGGATATAAACAGGACTGTATGATGGAGCTTCTCTACTGCTAGAGAAAATACACAACGGAAGTCTGTTTACACCCCGTTATGATTGGAGTCATTCACTTGATTTGATATAGAAATCCACATTCAACATGACAGAATGCAAACTCATTATTACCAGACTGAAGTAGACTTTGATTCAGGGTTAAAGATCATTAACACTGTTTATATCGGTCTCCTCCTACCAGAGCAGGATGGGCAACCAGCAGCATCAATTATTATGAATTTGGTTAAAGCATTAAAATGTGGCAAACGTACATTAACCAACGGGACTGAGCTCTTG